AGTTTTCAGTGAAGAAGCAAATTAGTGTTTTTAACTGTTCCTTTAAGTCGTCGTGTGAATATCTGAAGTCTGGTGATTGGATCTCTGTAGAGTTTTCATCCAACAAACACACTTTCTACGTTTAATGTTTTAAATGCTGTTCTGTTCAAACCCCCTCCACACACACACACACACACACACACACGCACACACACACGTACACACACTCACTCACACCTTCAGCAAACTCGCTATGTACAAGCGGCTCAGTCTGGTGCTACACGTAGACCAGGTCTCGGCCCTGTGGCGCTGAGCTGCCGGCTGCCTCCTGCACCGGGCTCTCGGATTCCGCCTCGTCCTCGTAGCCCTCATACTCGATGGGCTTGGGGCAGCTGTACGGGTGGCCGTTGTCGTCGAAGAAGCGGCGGAAGGTGAACTCGTAGAAGGCGTGCTCGGGGTGTTTGCCGTTGCGGAACCAGCCGTTGAGCGTGTCGTTGAGGTTGTCCTCGCCATCGCTGTCGCTGCTCCACAGCTTGTCCGGGTCCACGGGGTCGAAGTTGGAGGTGTCTGTGGAGTGGGCGATGGTGGGGATGTACGGCGCCACCTGCTGTCTCTGGTCACTGGAGAAGTCGATGGTCTTGAAGAAAGGATGGGCTTTGATTTCGTCCGCGCCGTTCTTGCCGAGGCGGTCCTCAGGACCTCGGCACAGTTTGACGATGAGATCGGACGCCTCCGGGCTGAGCTTGGCTTGTGGGGGAATGTGCAGCGTGCTCTTCCAGTTTATCACCTGGTTTCAACACAGAGAGACAGAGACACTCAGAGACAATGAAGTCTGAGGATGCGAAACATTTCACTGCAGGTGCCACGCATACCTTCAGCTGCGTCTCCAGGGGCGTGGTCGCTAAGAAGGGAGGCTGTCCGACAACCATTTCATACAGGATGACACCGACGCTCCACCAATCACAGAGCTGGGTGTATCCTGGAGAAGATTCAAGACATTTTCACACCAATAAACCTGCAGCAACAAACTCTCCCTACAAAAGAGACGTCTTCAATACACAAATCCATTTAATTGGTTGATTGAATAAACATCTGTCTTACTTTTCTTTGCCATATTTTACAAAAATTTCATTGAATTTTTGATTGAAATCTTCAGATTTGGATGAAAAACAAGTTCCAGCTTCCTCCTGCACTGTACCTGTTCGGAGCAGCACTTCTGGTGCTATGTAGTTGGGCGTCCCCACGAGCGAGTGAGCCAGACAGCGCTGGTGCTGCCGAGCCTTCCTCCGCTCCAGAGGCTTCAGTCGGTCGGTGCAGCGGCAGTTAGCCGGGTCTTCCCACTCTTTACTGAAGTCCATGCTGTCCTGCCTCACGTGGTCGCCTGGACAAAAGATCACATCGCTCGTTACGTCAATCAGCTGTGGCTTTCTTTTTATTAGAAGAATGTAATCAGACTAAAAACTGATACTCACCGCTCTGGTAATACTTGGAGTCGTGTGTCCAGCGGAAACCGGTACAAAGACCGAAGTCGGTCAGCTTTATGTGTCCGTCTCGGTCGATGAGAATGTTGTCAGGTTTGATGTCCCGGTGGATGAAGCCCATCTTGTGGACGCTCTCCACGGCGCAGGTGAGCTCTGCGATGTAAAACTGAGCCAGCTCCTCTTTGAAGATGCCGAGTCGGATCAGAAGACTCATCATGTCTCCTCCGGGGATGTACTCCATGACAAAGTACAGGTTGTCCTTGTCTTGGAAGGAGTAGTAGAGACGCACCACCCACTCGTTGTCGGCTTCAGCCAGGATGTCCCTCTCGGCCTTTACGTGGGCCACCTGGTTCCTCAGCAGCACGTCCTTCTTGCGGAGAGTTTTCATGGCATACAGAGCTCCCGTGTCCTCTTTTCTGGCCAAACACACCTCACCGAAAGCGCCGATGCCGAGGGTCTTGATTCGTTTGAACATGGACTTATCCATCTTGGCTCGCTTTAGCCGGATGTAGTTGGACTCTTTCTGACAGAGCATCATACGCATCTGCTCCTGGGCTTCTGAAGACAGACCCACCTGAGGACAAGAGAAAGATTTTAATTTGTGATATAGAATAGTATAAATCGAAATGCACATAAATACGTGTACTCGTGGTTAGACATAAACTGAAACTAAGAAAAATCAACCGAGGAAAACCAATGCAAATAAAACAAGATGCAAAAATTTTAAAAAGATGCACAAGCAGTGATTTTATCAGTGAGACGAAGTTCATTTCCTTCAGACACAGAGAAAATGTCATGCCTTTCACAACAACAGCTTACTTGAGTGTGTAATGAACAGCAGAGATACCTTTACCTTGTCAGATCAGCTGTTAGTGACAGCGAGGAGAGAAAGGAAGAGAAAGAACAGCTGAGAAAAAATAGAATAATACGATAGAGACAGAGAAAACAGTGATTACAAGATAGTTCAGGGGAAAACAGTTGGAAAATAGCAAAGAGTCAAGAAGATTCACTTCTGTGATGAATTAAGAAAATACTTTCTGTGATTTCTCACCCGTTGCATCTCACTCTCCAGCTGCTTCCTCCGTCTGATCCGCTGCTGATGGTTCTTTAAGATGTTCTCCACGTGTTGCTCCATGAAGAACTTGAAGGCCTGAGGGGAGTACAGTGCGATCCTGCCGGACTCTCCCCTCCGCTCCTCGTCTTTCTTGTTACGGCGGACGGGAACGGGCGATGTCGTGATCTGTTTCTTCTCCTTCTCCGTCGCTGTGGTGCTTTTGGCGTTTTCTGCCGTCTTGTCTCTGGAGTTGTCACCTCCGCCGCCCTCCTCCTCAGCCGGCTCGTCCCTGCCAGAGCCGAGTTTATTCACACCTGGATCGTACGCTGGGGGTAAAGGTGCCGCCGCCTGCTGGAGGAGGTGCTTAGGGTAGGGAGGAGGAGGACCCTGGTAGCTGGGTACTTCTGCTACTACAGGGATCTGAGGAGCAGGAGCTGGGGGCTCTTGGTAGGCAGGTGCAGCTGGTGGTGGTGGAGCCTGCTGCAACCATGGAGGGTGTGTGGGCGCCACAGCGGTGTGCAACTCAGGTTTGTGAACACGCATGCTTTTGACTGGCTGCAGGATGGGAGCTTGGGTGATGGCAGTGACTGTGGTGGCAGAGGGCTGGGAGCTGGTCGGGTGAGGTCCTCTGCCATTCAGCTGGTGGTTGTTGAAGGAGTTGGAGCGGACTGGCATGTTGTGTTGCCACGATGGGGACAGATCTTGGTTGCCGCTGTTGCCGGAAGAGGACTGAGGCTGATTGGAGACCAGAGGGGGCTGGGCCCAGGACTGAGGAGGGCCAATGTTGCACAAATCAAGGTTGTGACTGTTCCGGTTGGGTACCATCAGGGACTGAGGGATGTTTCCACCATTTACGTACGAGGGAGAGGATGCGGGTCCTCCCATCTGATCAGTGGGACTGTGCCGGCTGCTCTGGTTGACTGGGTATGGGGGAGGGGGCTGTCGACTGTTCCCCGCCATGTAGTCTGGCTGAGGGGAGCCATTCTGAGACCAGCTGGAAGGGAAGGTGAACTTACTCCCTCCAGAACTTTGCATTATGATGGGCTGGTGGCCCACAGACACTGGACTGATCCCGCGCTGGTTCTGAGAAGCTGCAGCTGAGTACCCATCAGGCCAGGCCCCCTGGGGTACTGGAGAGATACGGGGCACCAGGTAATCCATGTTACCAGAGTAGCGCTTGGTTGACGGGTTGCTGTCCCAGGACGTTGAAGGAGGCATGGCACCACGATTTGGTGGAGGTGTCACACTGCGCACCTGAGGTGGCAGCGGAGGGTTGACTCTCTGGCTGTTCGCAGGGTGACCCTGAGGGAAGGCCGGAGGTGGTCCAGGGCTGTCGGAGCGGTACAATATTCCATCTACCATGATGGGACCGTGTCGAGGAGCCAAAGACTCCTTAGAGCCTTTCCAGCTCGGCCTCCTCAGCACAGACTGTTGCATATGCGAAGGACCTAAACACACAGAAATAAATAATAAATAAATAAAGCATAAATTCTAAATACAAAAGCAAACATACAGAATATAAACACAAAATACTTTCTCATTCCACTTTCCCAGATTTTAGTTAAAACTCAGACGATAGTACAGATCTGTGCTAATCCAGATTTATATTTTGACTTGACTTCTAATGTGATGTGGTTTGTCATCATCCATGTCCAACCCAGCTTATCTTACCCTGCAATTACTTTTGTGGTTTTGATTCAGAACAGTTGTCAAAACACACACACACACAAAATACTCATCAATAATAGAGTGTGTTGTCCACCGTCGTGGTGGTAACACGCTACGACAACTGCCCCTCCTTGAACGTATCATTACCGACATCATGTGTTAAACCAACAACCTAATTTCACCTCACTTCTTTCATGCTCTCATTCTCTCAGAGCACTTTGTCATTCTTTAAGCAAACGTCCCAAATCCTGCAAACAATAATCGAGGCTGAACGAACACGCCTGGACGACAGATAAAGAGGAAGAACCAGCCGCTTGTCTCAGAGGACTGTTTATGTACCTGGGGCTTTCAGGCCCGTTGTGTTGGGGTTGGTAACGGCCATCTGTTCCCTCATTGCGTCCTGATAGGTCACCTTAGACATGTAGTCTAAAGACACCCCCACATTACGACTGTTGCTCGGCTTCAGGGTTAAAAAAATAAACAGACAAAATATTGTATTGTTAGAATGAATCACTTCAGCGAGCAAGAACAGATTTCAGAT